ACACACACACACACACACACACACACACACTATGCTATAGATCAAATTAAAAAAATCTTGAAAATCTTTTCCAAAAACATTTATTACGAGGAAAGAAGAGTTGTTCTGCAGTCTCAGTGTCTGGATCACAAAACGCACAGTAGCACATGGTATCAAAGTTGAATTTTCTTTTGCGAAAGTCTTAGCTGTAAACTTCATTCAAGTTTGAAATGGATTCATTTCACCTTTCGAGAGTGGAAAAATAAATTGTAATTTTTCAAAAGGTCTAATTTTTAACCAGCTGACTGTTTTCTTCTCAGTGTGTTGAGGGCAAGTCAGAGTGATTGTTATGAGTTGGTTATTACATTTTTAGTCAATGAAGTCACAGACATTAATGATCAAAATTTTTAATTTGGATTAAATGCTGAATGTTATCATGCATTTAATTTGTAGAATAATAGCAGGGGAATTGCCTTTAACACTATTAAACGAAGTTCTAGCACGTTATTTTTTTATTTTTCTAGAAAAGCTTATGATTAAAGGCTGCTATACTCTACCACAAAGTGTAGAACTCTTCTACAACCTATGTTTATAAAATAACAATTTTTATTTTATCAGGATCTGTTGTTCTCAGTTGGGTTTGAATGTGGTGAAAAAGTTTAGAAAAAAGTTTCCAATAGTCTGATATAGAACCTGTTTACCAAAGTCTGACATCAGCAGTCGGGATTCACCTCAGATGTAATTTCAAAAAAGATCTTAAAGGAAAATTATGTATATGTCAGGAACTTTATTTTTTAAAATAAACTCTTACCATTTAGTATGATGGTAGGTTACCATTCATTGGATCAAAATTGATCATAAACACTGTTCCTACTAGGCTATTTCAATCCTTAATAATTCCTGTTAAAACCAATGAAGTGGTCTAGAGGTGCTATCCGAGTTTGAGTTTGTAGAAAGAGAAATAGAACATCTGCTGAAATTGTGGGCTTGTCATTCCTTCTCCAGAGACTGTCCATGCTGAGAAAGCTTTCCAGAGCACTTTCATGTCATGCACTGCTATTAAAAAAACAACATTATGAATAAACAGTCCAGTATTACCCATCAATGCATCCATTTCAGTCAAGAACCAGTGCTGCATGAGGCCCAGCTACTTTCTGAAGGTCTTGCTTTGCTTGTGTTTTTCCTCACATTGTAGTGGTGCAGGATATTTCTTTGCAGGAAGACATGTGCAGATGGGGTGAGCATATTTAGGAAATAGTTATTTTTCCTCATGCCTGCGAAGAGCTGCTCTGCACACTGGCTGTTTAATCTTCCTGCAAGTTCCGGAACAATTTCAGTCTGCCTCAAAATATCCCTTTCATCTTTGTTGTTGTGTTGGTGGAAACCATCGCTCAAACAGTAGTGCTGCGAGGAGCCAGTAACAGGATGCCCTCCCTTTTCTTTTGGTTCTTTTTTGTGCTTCAGCCACGGTAAGCTCACTTGAAGTTTTCCCTCAGCAGCTTGTCTGATGTTTTTTGCTGTGGGATCGAGCAATCTACCTTCGTGGATGGTAAATGGTGTATCCTCAGGGCACCTGTTCTTTAGATGACTTACTAGTCCCCTGGGGTAGTCATAAACTGTAATATTTGGAAAAAACTTCCAGGATAAAAGCAGATCTGCAAAGTCTCTTGGACTCTCAGATCTCAGGTTAAACTTTATGGAATATATCACTCCACAAGGACAGGTGATTACAGCCCACCCACCTGAAACGAGAAAGACTATCGTTACTTCTTAAGCATATTTATCTGAAAGCTCCCCGTTGTGCACTATACATATATTGTATCTACATATACACAACTGATACAGTGTAAAATTGTAACTATTTGCCTGTTATAACTTGCTGTCAGACACTTACCAGAGGCACCCCAGACTTTTTTAAACACTTTGTTGTAGGTAGCTCTGGAAGCCATTTTGTCACGCAGACGAAGCACAAGGTCCATCTTTGAGCCTCTGCTGTCAATGCCACATTGCTTGCACAGCCTCTTGATCTCAGGTAGCTTTAAAAAAGTGTATTAATGTATTAACTTCCTTTTAACCTGCTCAAAAATCAACAAAATTCTGAATGTGAAAATACCTTTAGATTGAGAACCTCGTCTACAAGCCGCTCTTCTGTGAGATACTGGTCTTCATCACTGCTCCAATCAGGCATACAGATTTTTTCACTCTCAGTGTTTAACAAAATGTCAGATCGTCTTGTCTGTGGACCGATCCAGGGGGACCAGTTGTGATAAGAAGGTTTTACAACAAAAGGATTCTTGCAGCCAGCTGAAACAATGAAGACACACAAATGTTTCTTTAAGGCATTTCTTCCACATTACTGGACACACTGGAGCCTTAAAAGGGGCAATATCATGTTATATTCATGATTCTTAGTGTTGTGTTTTATTTCTGGTCCATGTTATTTTGATTCTGCACTCCTCCGTCAGGGGATTCTGATGTGATCAGTCCATGAAATGGACATTATAAGGCGTTATCAGTCCCATACAATGGCTTCAGGAGGGTCCCTACTGTGCCTTCTAGGCTTCAAACTGTCCCGACAGTAGGGCTGCCACGATTAATCGATTAATCGACGACTAATCAATTATTAAAATAATCGATGACTAATTTAATAATCGAAAAAGCGTTTTCTTTTTTTTTTGTTCTTTACTTTGTTTTTCTCTCCAAACTGCTTTGACACCTTCCACTGCCACATCTGCCTTTCTGTCCTTGACACACATGCACAGTAGTGGTA